TTAGGTAATGTTGACTTATTTGTAGCTCTGATATTAGTGAATATGTTTTCCTGTACAATTTCTCTCTATCTATTACAGTTTTCAGGAAAATATGGGAAAAAACGCCAAAATTGGACAAAGCCTGTAATTCGTGGGAAATAACTCCTGTAAAGAGTTTATTGATAATCTTGGTAATGTTGACTAAATTGTAGAAATTGGTTTTCTGATTATTTTTACTGGTACTGATCCTCTCTATTGATTATAGTTATCAAGATAATTGCCAGAAACGTAAAAATGGTTAATATCGTCCTTTTCGGGAAATAACTCATACGTGTATGAGGATTAGTCGGAAATGAAAGTAATTAGACATTCTGAGCAGTTTTGCTTCGTCAGACTTTTTCTCTCTATTTTGGTTTTGCAGGTATGACAATAACTTGCATTATACCTTTATGCTTTTTGAGTTATTGCAACGATATTGGTTGATTGACAGAAACAACAAAACGCAAACTGTTTACTAGACAAGTGTGGTTGAAATTGTTCCAGTAGATTCAGAGGAGACGATTTTTGAAAAAAAATACAACTACGACGGACACCAAGTGATGACAATAGCTGGCATGTTCGAACGGGCTAAATGAGCTCAAATGATCCGCAATAAGGATCTACAAAAATTCCAATATTATAACCAACTCAATCAATTGATACTAATTATTGCCTTATATTGCTATTAATGTCAAGATTTAAGCGTTTTTACCATTTATTTGGAAAATGAAAATAAACAGAAAGAAAACGTAAGATGTGAAAATGATCAGCAATACAAAATCTACAAAAATTACAATATGGCCGAAATCATGAGACAACTTTTTCTAGGAAATACCACCGCGTTGACATTGATGGTCTCGTGGCAGCGTGATCGCCTCTTATACGAAAGGTCATTGTTTGACCCATGACCGGTTAACAGATTTGAAAATTGGAATTTTCTGCTTAACCCGTAAGCATGCGGCATGTAAGAATAAGGGAAATCTGGTCAGCCCGCAGTAAAATAATGTGTCCTGGGGACATAATTTTATATTAGCTGTAATTGGCTTTGAGCTAGCTATCAGTAACTGCGAGTATTCTTAGATCGGTGCTTTGTATCTTTAGTCTTTGCTAGTTTTTTTAGGTTCGTACCTAGTGGATGAGTCATGCTATTATAACCGGGGTTTTTCCGGCTATAGTAACTCAAAGACGAAATACCAATACTTTAAACTTTATTAGCTAGGTCCGGACAGTACCAGACCTAAGACCTAAACTGACTTCAAAATTTGCTGAATTGAGACAATTTCACTTCGGTTACCTTCGTGGGTATCCTCCTTGTCGTTGGCGTTGATGCGAATTGTGGGAATAGTTTGTACGCAAACTTTCAATTTGATTCTCGGCGATTGAAAGTTCATGAAGCAAATTTTGATGTTCACGTACTGTGGATTCATTAATATTCGTTGTATACCAATTTTCGTGGATTTCGTGGGTACAGGGGAACCTCGAATTTAAATGTTCAACGAATAATAAATTTTCACAAGGTATGAATGCAGACTTTGCCAAAACCACGAAATTAAATATCCACGAATATGCAAGTTTTTCTCAATCCACGAAAATTGGTACCCACGAAAAGAAATGAATCCATAGTATATTGTCGAAATTTAGTACCTTGAGTTTCTGAATTTCGTCTTTAAGTGTTTTGATAAAATGACAGTCTTGCATCTCAGCATTTTTCAAATCCATGGTTAAACGGTATCTAGTGTTAGTTAAATTAAGGTTTTCCTCTTTCAAACGCACTATTTCCTTTTCAAAATTTTCAGTTCTACTTGTATTCTCAGCTCCCGTTCGATCGTTTGGATTAGCCGAACATGTTGTAAACGTTCCAAATTTAATTTGTCAAAACTGTTCCTTAACATCACATTGTCCTTAATAACGGTATCCAATTTCGAATTTTCACATTTGAGGACAGCAATTTCTTTCAGTGAGTTGCGATGAGACGATTTTAACTTGTTTAGGTGCTGTTTCGCGGATTCGTCCTGTATGGAGCATGTAAAAGTAGAGAGTTCCTTGTCCCCGAGTCTTTGAAACGGAAATTGAGATTTGTTTCTTCTCTATAAACTTTCTCATTCTGTCGCTGTCTCTTTGAATTTTTGATTTCGATTTCTTCTTTGGTTTTGGGTTGCTGACAAACGACTTTACGTGAAAATTACGCATGCGGGCAAAATGTCCATGACGTCTGCATTTGTAACAATAAGCGTTTACTGCATTACACCGATGGTATGTGAAAACATTCAATGTTTTACCGCAATATTTGCACAGAAATTCCAAACAGGTAACTGATTTTCTTATCGGAAACGGATGTCCATTTCTTCAAGGCTGGTAATTCCAAGGTCCTTCCATTCTGTTGCTTCTGAAGGTATTCATTTGCTAGTTTGGGGAAACTAGCTCAGGATCGTGCCGCGGGTAACCTCAACCAATATATCACCGGGGGTTTTCCGGCTATAGTAATTCAAAGACGGAATACCAATACTTTAAACTTTATTTAGCAAGGTCTGGACAGTACCAGACCTAAGACCTAAACTGACTTCAAAATATCATACAAAAGCATATATAAAAACAGTATCTATAGAAAAGGATAAGTGTCCAACGGATTAACTTGTCATCGTCAAAGTGATTTCCATTACGACAAATATATATTTAACATTAGAATATAGCAAAGTGCTCTCGACCAATGAAATTGTAGGATTTGGTGTCTCTTAATTGTGAAGAATGAATGTAAATCATGTTCTTAGTAAGGGATTATCCTATTATTTGGGTCTATCTAAAATTCAGTGATTAAAACTGACTAAAAGTTGAATTGTGAAACAAACAAAAAAATCAAAATACAGTACAACCTGGGACATCCTCTGAATTATGTCCACCCTCCTGTATGGTCACCATCTAATGGTGGCCATTTATTGGGGTATTCAATCTTGAGATGTTGGCCATTTATTGGGATCATAAAACATAGGTTGATGTTTTATCTAATTATATATCATAATCCTGGGCTTCCTCAGGTTAATAAGTGAACCTTTACTTTAAGTCAAGGCCGCACGTCTTTTTTCACAGCTGAGTGATTTTTTGTCTGACCACTACACTATATAAGCCCGTTCATAGACGTGACCATCTTCTTTATTTTAAAAGGCCGCACGTGGTACAAGTCGAATCGATTTAGGCACGAAATAACAAGTTTGCAACAGACTCTGTTGTGAAATATTTTATCCGAATCGGATATATTGAAAATAAATTTTCAAGAGTTGACAGAATCTGTCAGCTGGTTAATACAGAAATTATGTCGCTCTGTACATCGCGCTTAAGCGACAGTGGTAGTGATGATAATGACGATGAAATATTAAAATTATTTGCGTCGGACGAAGAAGTTCATGCTTCATTTTCTGGTTTTTCTCAAATTGAGAACATTGATGACCCGGAGTTGGATAACCCGGAAGCGCAAGTATTAATTGCCGTGGATATTCGAATGGCAGTTACACAAAAACAAAAACAAACTGAAAATTCAGCAATGAAAGGTAAGAAGAGTATCAGCTCTACAAAAGGCAAGGCTTTAGCCAGCAAACAACAAAACACCTAAAAGACAGGTGACTGAGGTGGACAATGAGTTGCCATCAAGGAGCGGAATAGTAGTAAGTCCGGTGAAAAAACGTGGAAAAGTTACGAAGGCTACGAAACCACGCACAACCACAGTGAAGAAAACTACTGCAAAGAATCAGTACGATCAATGAGAATTACTTAAAACTCTGTTTAAAGGTTTGTCAGACACTTTGGTATTCACATTAAGTCAGAATAATGAAAAGCCACAAAGACCAGATAGCAATATTGACATAGAATTTTCAGAGAATGAGTCTGTAGCTGATGAGCAGGTGATTGCCACCAACTATAATATTTTTTCTGATGAGGAGAATGAACCTCAAGTTGTTGCATCAGATGATGAGTTTGATTATGAACTACCTAAGATTTTTGAAGATGATGAAAAACATGATGAAGAGGTAAGCCCATCGTTGGCTAAAGTCTTGGACAATATATGTAAAAAGAAATCTGATGTGTCAGTAATGATGAGAGAGATGAAGATACCTGTAAATTGTAAAAGTTTGGTAGCACCCCCAGTTAATGCTGAGATATGTCAATTTCTTGAAAGAAAAACTAAAACTTCTGATTTGAATCTGCAAATAATACAAAAATCGCTAGGTTGTTGTATGGTACCATTGATAAGAGTGGCAGAAATTCTGAAATCCGAAACTCCAGATGTAAAATTGATGAGGGAAAACATTTCTAAGGCTCTGGCAATTTTCAGCAATATTCATTTTGAGTTTTCGATTAAAAGACGGATGTCTTTAAAGCCACACATAGACAAGAAATACCACAAACTTTGCAATCGCAATGAAGATGTAGGTTCTAGCCTTTTTGGAGATGAAGTTGGCAAGCGATTGAAAGATATCAATGAAATTAACAAAATAAACAAGAACATTACTAGCAGCTATGGTAGAAATTCAAATTACAGAGGAAGTTTCAGGGGAAGAAGCCGTTTTTTAGGCAGAAGGGGCTATCAGCCTAGACAAAGTTATCAGAGCCCGAGGGGTCAACTGAGAGGAAACAGACCCTACAATCAGAAAAGAAGATTCTAAAGGTGAGAAATAAAAGTAGAAATACTAAAAGAAAGTCGGGTAAACTGAAAAACATTATTTCGAATTGGAAATAAAGGCAACAGTAGTATACCGCTGTTCGAAACTCATAAATCGATAGAGATAAAAACAAATCCGGGTTACAAACTAAAACTGAGGGAAACGCATCAAATATAAGAGGAGAACAACGACACAACAAAAACACAACATTAAAATACTTAACCAAAGACAATTGGATTATTTCTACAATTAAGGGATATAAGAATTTGATAAAAGCCAGTTCAGGAAAAAATTCCAGTTCCTTTAAAATTTAACAATAAGGAAAAGTGTAACACAATTGTGTTCCATACGATAATCATCAGGAAGTAACTACATACAGCAAAACCGAGACGATTACATGTAACCTTTAGACACTTAATAACAATCTGTACGAATATTATTGACATATATCCTGCAGCCACTAAATGACCATGTCTACTGTGAAATAACATGTATCCGTCAGGGGTTAATTGCATAGTTTGACAATTAACCACAGACTAGTATTACTCCACAACCAGACTACTACGTAACCGGCCTACAGCTATGGACCGTTTGTATGGACCACTAGACTATATAAGATCTCTCATTTTGGACTTCAACACACAATTCGATCACACCAGAATTCGTCAGATCTCGGCCAGTGTCTCAGTGAAAAACATTTATTTGAACTTTTAATCGCTCTTTGAATACTTGTAAATTAAGCAATAAATTCTAATTGACAAGTATTAGTTAACTTAATTGACTTCGCAACATAAGTCAAATTGGTGCCGTTCAGACCAAGGATCAACCAGGACTTCTAACCACTATACGATAGAAAGGAACCACGTAAGTTGCAATTACCATAGCTTTCATTCTTTTTTAATGGATAACCAAGATACTTCTATGTCAGCACAAAAAGTAGAATTAGCTTTCAATGGTGTCGCGAACGAACTTCATGGGTTAAGGGAAGTAGTTACTATTCAAGGCGATGTAGCCGCCGAACTAAAAGGGTTAAAATCAGCCATTTGTTCTCAAAACGTAGTTCAAGGAATAACGCCTTTTGAAGGTAATACGAAAGATTTTAAAGCCTGGATTAAGTCAATTGAAAAATATGCTTTACTTTTTAATGATAGGGATCGAATTAAGGAAATAGCTTTTCAAACATGTAAAGGGGCTTGTTCAGATTACATACAAAGGTATTTAAGAGACCATCGGGATACCACTTGGGAACAATTAAAAAAAGAATTAACTTCAAGGTTTGGAGAAATTACGGACCCTCAACATGCGTCAACTCTTTTGAGACAATTAAAACAAAAAGGGGACGAGTCTGTTCAAATTTATGCAGAAAATTTATTGAATTTGGCAAATGAGGCATATTCAGATTTAGATGGAAATAATGAAGCTATAGAAAGGGAACTCGTAGGCATTTTTATAGATGGTTTGGCTCATTCTTATTTAAAAATGAAATTAATGAGAGAAAACCCAGCTACTTTTTCTTTGGCAGTTAAAAGTGCAATGACTGAACAAAATTTGAGAAAAAGATTTACTTTAAGAACGGAAAGGGTAGACGAACCAAGGTATAAAACAATAAGACCAATGACATTAACTAGACCACGACGGACTGAACCTTTGAACTCTCATGAACCAATGGAAATTGATCATTATCGTGATGCAAAACGTTGTTATTCTTGTGGTAAAGTAGGTCATGTATCACGTGATTGTCGTTCTGGGGGAAATTTGAGACAAATTAATGCCGTAGAAATGCAAACATATCACGGAAATTCGGGTAGAAACAGGGAAATTAATTGTTATTCTTGTGGTAAGGTAGGACATATAGCACGAGATTGTCGTTCTAGGGGAACATATAGACAAGTAAATGCAGTTGAAACGCAACAATATCAAGGGAATTCGGGAAGAAATAATGAGATAATTTGTTATCAGTGTAATCAACGGGGACATATTAGGCCAAATTGCCCAAATAGAAAACCTAGGACTGTTAACATGGTAGAAAACTGGGGTGTATATCAGGAAAACTAAAGCGCTCTTGTCACGTTGAAGCCGGTGATAAGAGTAAAATTGAAAAGAAATTACCTACTTATTCTATAAATGTTGCAGGAGCTCCAAATTCAACTTTAATCAAAATTCAAAATCAAAGATATAGAGCTCTCGTAGATTCAGGCGCTAGTGTTTCTTTGATACACAAAAGAATTTTTGAAACTTTGAGGGATAAACCAAAATTACTAAAGAAAACGGCTAACTTACAGTCCGTAAATGGGGGGTCTTTACATGTAGAAGGTTGTGCAAACCTTACATTTAAAATAGGTAGTACAAAAGTTACTCAATTATTTTATGTTGTTAGAGACATGAACAGAAATGTTATTTTAGGAAAAGATTGGTTAGTACAAAATGGAGTTAGGTTATATTTTGATTTAGGATGTTTAAGAATTCAAAAAAATTATGTTCCATTAGAAGAAGATATTAATGTGGCTTCAATTGTAAGATTAACCGTAAATGCCGTATTAAAACCACAAACAATTAATGTTTGTCCCGTAGGCCTTAAGAACAATCCAAGTTTTGGAAGTACTAAATTGTTAGAAATCTCACCTGTAGCTTCAGGGTATGTTAGTACAGAACCAGGCTTAATGATAAGTAATACGGTGGTTAATTTTAATAAAAATAGGAAGTTTCCTTTGATGATTGTAAATAACACAAACAAATCAATTAGGTTAAGAAGAGGTTGTGTAGTAGGTAAGGCTTCTCATTTAGAAGAAATAAATTTAGTCAATGTTAATCAATCACAAGGAACTTCGGAACTCAAAAAGTTAGATGAGTCTGAAATAAGTGTACCACAAGAATTTAAAAAGGATATACTTAGAATGTTAAGGGATAATGAAGATATTTTTGCAACTTCAGACAAAGATTTGGGGTGCACTGATACAGTGCAAATGACTATTGATACCGGGGATCATCCACCTATCAGATTAAAACCCTATAGGGCCCCTCTCAATCAGAGAAAAATAATAGATAAGGCTATTGAGGAATTATTAGAGGCTAATATTATTAGGAAATCTAGGTCGGCTTGGGCTGCGCCTATTATTATCGTTTCTAAAAAGGATAAAACATCAAGGATGTGCGTGGACTATCGCAGCCTGAACGCAGCCAGTAAAATTTATTCCTTTCCGTTGCCCCTGATTGATGACTTGCTTGCTTCAGTAGGTAAAGCCAAAGTAATGACATCACTTGATTTAAAGTCAGGATATTATCAGGTAAAGGTCAAAGAGTCGGATAAGGAAAAGACTGCTTTTGTATGTCACAAGGGATTATTTGAGTTCAATGTATTGCCATTTGGTCTCGCCTCAGGGCCCAGTTTATTTAGTGAATTAGTTACAGAGGTACTACAAGGGTTAGAACATTTTTCAACTGCTTACATAGATGACATTTTGATATTTTCCGAAACAGTGGAAGAACATTTAGGCCACATACAACAAGTTTTTGATAGATTAAGACAACACAAACTAAAATTAAAATTGAAAAAATGTAATTTTTTGCAAGATGAAACTAATTACTTAGGCTTTATAATAAGTAAAGATGGACTAAAACCGGATCCTGAAAAGGTTAAGGCCATTCAAGGCATGAAAGCTCCCTCGAATGTCAGGGAAGTTAGAGGATTAATAGGTTGTTTGAGTTATTATCGCAGATTTGTACCTTCATTTTCAAAAATTGCGGAGCCTATAGTTGCCTTAACTAGGAAAAACAAGGTTTTTGATTGGACCAACACTTGTCAAGTTGCTTTTGAAAAATTAAGGGGTGAATTAGTGAAAGTTCCCTTATTGGCATATCCAGATTTGAATAAACCATATGTGCTTTACACGGACGCTAGTGATAATTGTGTAGGTGCTTGTTTAACGCAATTACAAGCCAGCCCAATAGAGGGTGAAAATGAAGTTGAAAGACCAATTTACTTCCTATCTCATAAATTGAGTGATACGCAAACACGTTGGTCAACCATTGAAAAAGAAGCCTTTGCGATTCATTATGCCTTACAAAAATTGAATCATTATTTGTATAATGCTGAATTTGTGATAAAAACAGATCACAAACCTTTGAAATACATTCTGGAATCACCAATGCAAAATAAGAAAATTCAACTGTGGGCATTGAACATAACGGGTTATAACTGTACTATTCAGTATATTCCAGGGCCCCAAAACGTGTGTGCAGATTTTATGTCTAGATTACCTTCAGATGAAAAACGAAACGAAAATCCAGATCCGTATCCGGATATTAGTGACAATACTTACGAAATTAATGTGATTAATTCAAATAGATTTCATTTTTCTGATTATGCAAATAATGATAAATTAGTTGAAGATATTCCAGAAAAAGAAAATTTTCAGTTTGAAGAATTTGATATGTCAATCGAACAAATGAAAGACAAAACATTACGTGAGTTAAAGGAACAACTTGTAAGCGATAAGGTACCCGAGGCAGTGCAAAACAAGTACATCATAATAGATGACATACTTTATTACATTTCAAATGTAGATAATGATCCTATTATAAGGTTGTACATACCTTCTCATATAAAACAAGCAGTTGTAGAACAATATCATGATAAGAATGGGCACATGGGCATTGACAAAACATTTGATTCCATTCGTCAAAAATATTTTTGGCCAAACATGTTTAAGGAATTGTATAATTATGTCACTACTTGTGTACCTTGTCAATCACGCAATTTACAAAAGGTTAGAGCGCCAATTCAGGAAACAAAAATTCCGCCTTATCCTTTTTGTCATGTAGGGGTAGATTTGAGTGGACCGTATCCAACTACCATGTCAGGTAACAGGTACATTATAGGATTTATCGATTTATACTCAGGGTGGCCAGAAGCTTTTAGTGTCGCAACAAAAAGCACTGACAATGTTGCACATCTTTTGATTGAAGAAATTACTTCAAGGCATTCTGGGATTCAAATTCTAACAAGTGATAATGGAGGGGAAAACTGTTCTAAGGCTATGGAGGAAGTTTGTAAGGAACTTAATATAAAGCATATTAAAACTTCATTCTATCACCCTCAGGGTAATGCTAAAATAGAGAGATTTCATAGAACATTACATGATGTTTTGTCAAAATTAATAGAAGATCATTCCACAACTTGGGATTTATACTTGAACCAAGCTTTAGCAGCAATTAGATTCAATATCAATGAGTCCACCCAACTTTCACCTTTTTACGCATTATATAACAGGGATCCAGTTTTACCTTTAGATAACATTTTACAGCCTAGGAGAAAATACAATGGGGAAGAATATCATAAAATTGCCTTGCAACAACAACATAAATCATTTATGTTGGTTCATAAAACCATGAAAAAATCTAAGCAGAAACAAGCTAAGTACGCAAACAAACATAGCAAAGATATAAGGTTTGAGGTAGGAAACCCAGTTTTTTATAAAAATCATAGAAGGGCAAGCAAACTTTCAAAAAAATGGACTCCGTACTATAGGATTATAGAACAAACTTCACCTGTTAGTTTTATTTTAAAAAATCAGTTAGATGGGACAACCACAAAGGCTCATGCTGAACAAATTCGTTTGGCTAAGTTAGATTGGGAAATTCCTAACAACAATCAAGGTAGGATATTACGTAAAGCTGCATATGTAGTTCCCATTGAGTCACAATCAGAAGACTCCTCTGATGATGAAAGCATAGATTCAGACACTCCGTTAAATCAAATTGCAAAAAGATATAAAAAAGAAAGGGAAAATTCTGATGAAGAAGATGATATACCATTAATGGAGTTATCTAAAAAATTAAGGGGGAAGAAAATTTTCTCAGAACAAAATAATGTCAATAATAGTGAAATAGAAAGTGATGATCAAATCATAAAAGAAGAAGTAGAAAATTCGTCTACTAATTCTGAAGTTTCTGACATTGATGATAAAATGTCCAGCAGTCACTCTTCGCCTGTTGAATCTGAAATTTCCGACATGGAAGATAACATGTCTGTAAACCGGGTTAAAATAAAAAATAATCGGAAACCAACTGATAATGGGGCTAACGAAACAAAATTGGTAACCAAGGAACATGTACAAAATTTAGTAAGGGCTTTAATAGGTATTATGTAGGTATCAATTGGCTTTATAGGTCGTAAGAAGGATGCAAATCATTTAAAAATTTCTAAAACTTATAAACTATGTAATAAAACTAGTATTTATTCTCATTTTACAGAATGGCAGACAATGAAGAAAGCTTTGCCCAGCTAGAATCCCTCTATTTGTGGAAACTATTACCTGATAATTTATGGTGGGACATATATGTAAAATTTAAGATCAATTATTTCCGGGAAATACTAGATAGAAAGAGAAGGGAACCTCTATTTAAGGAATTCCACGCTATACAGAAGCTTATTAACCTGTCGGATCCAATTATAATTGACAATTATTGTGGTTTACCCACAAAATTCGCAGAAATAATTGGACGCCGGAAACAATTTGCCGAAATACATAACTTATCCTATCAGGAGCATCTTAGGAAGTGGACGGTGGAGAACTTCAAAGCCATTGGATGGTTAAAACGATCCAATCGCTTTGGGGTTTACCACCAAGAAGTGATTCTAAACAAGGCAAGGAAAATGCACCGGATACGCATTTTCGATCTGATAATTAAATTTGAGACTGTGAAGGAAAACAACCAAACATTTTATTCAGGACTATCATATGAATTCCAAAATTGATAAAGGCCAGATAAATAAAATATATTATGATAATTTATATATGTATCATTATTTTTAGGGAGAACCAGTGATGAAGTGGTGGTGGTTCTCACTTGTTCTTTTTGGCTTAACCAGCCAATTCATTGTCAAGGAAAATGTCATGTTTCAAAAAATTAAGGAAATATCAACCACAAGGTCAAATTGGCTCATTACTTTTGTCGTAGACTTGGATCCTTTTGAATTATTTCTTAATAAAATAGAACAAGACTTGGGCAAGGCTTTTCTCGCTACACAAAAAGTTCACACAATTTCTATGTTTTACACCCCAGAAAAAAAACACATTTTGGCTACTATCTTAAGTCTACAAAGGGAGGTTGAAGGATTAAATCGGACTAAAGATTATTTACAATCACAATTCAATGATTACCAATCTTTATATTACGACGAAACGGCAAAGTTTAAAACTAAACGTAGCTTATTTCCTATTATAGGCAAGGCATTAAGTTTTTTATTTGGTACTGTATCAGACAGCGACCTGTCAAAAATTCGAAGAAATATCAAAACTTTGGCACAAAATCAAGATGCAATTCGTCATATTGTTCAAGATGGGTTAACTATCTTAAACACTACACAAACACATGTTTCTGAAAATAGACACAAGGTTAATGAGTTGATTGAAAGTGTTCAAGATCTTGGAAATAGACTTCAAACTTTTGCTACGGATTTAGAAAAACAAATTGAAGTTATGGGAAGTTATTTACAAGCTTATTTGCATATGGACATGATAATAGGTGAAATAAAGGACCTTATGAATATAGCCGGGGATTATTTAAACCATTTGCAATTACAACTAAACATGTTGTCCTTAGGACACATGTCACCCAGTCTTATATCACCCGGTAATTTACGAGTATTATTGACTGACATAAAACGACGACTACCGGCGACATTAAAGATACCTGGTGACGAAGTTAAAGATATTTGGAATTTTTATAAATTTTTGACCTGTAGTACAGTTTTGGACGAAAACAAAATAATCATTATCATTACGTTACCATTACTAGATATAAGAGACACTTATGAAATTTATAAGATTCACAACTTGCCTGTTCCTACTACGATAACTGATAAACAATCTGACTCGAGCAATATGGTTGCTCAGTATGAATTAGAAGCAGAAGTTATTGCTGCAAACCAAGAAAAAACTAAATATATGCTGCTAAATACCAATGAAATTGACAAGTGTTCCAATCCTTTAGTTAAATTTTGTGAAATTAAAAGTCCAGTTTATCCAGTTAATTTAAGTAAATTATGTATCATAGCCTTATTTGCCAATAAAGAAAATTGGAAAACAAGATGTACAGTGAAAGTACGACCAAACACAATTTTGCCTATGGCAACTTATTTGACCGATAGTATGTGGGCAGTTACAACCATTAATGAATTTAGAATCACTATTAGATGTGATGACAATACAAACATGTTGACGGATCAGATAATTAATCCTCCTACCACTATAATTAATTTAAAGCGAACTTGTACCGCTACGAGTGATCATTTGACCTTATTACCTACTTATCAAATGGAAAGTACATTTTTAACAGAAAAAACGTTCGAAAGATTCTTAAATACCTTTCAAGTACTGAATACAAGTTTATGGGAACCCTTTCATGCTGCTTTGCCAAATTTTACAAAGCTTGAACTACCAAGAGAACTAAAGGCGATTAAACAAATTCCTATGAACGCTTTGATTGAAAAACTTAGAAATTTAAGGGGAATTGAAAACGATTTTGAATTTCCAAATTGGGGAGTAGGTTTATCCCTGGGTTTGGGTGCGATATTCATTGGAATAGCTATATTTTTGTACTGTAAGTTTTTTAGAAACAAATCTTGGTTAGCCAAAAAGAAAGGTGTGAGTTCGGGTTCTAATGCCACGAACGATGGGTACCAAATGGTGACAACGCAAATGGTTGGGACAGAAGTACCTGATTCCAGAGAGAAGATTCCCTCTGCACCATTACTCAAAGACGATGCAAGACCGAAGACCGATGCTACCAGTCTCTTGAGAAAGATGTACCCAGAGCTAGATACGTCGACTACTTCGTAAAAGGACTGGATTGTAAACCATACAACGTAGACGACCGAATCCACTAGCAGAAGACGAACCGTGTAAATAATTTTAAAAGTGACCCTATGAACTGTGTAAATAGAATTGTATAAACATTTGCGTTCCTACCCAGTATTGAGGAACAACTTACTATGATGGTGATGGAAATAAAACATGAACTATGTATACCGAAATATTGAACTTATGATTCGAATGAACTATGTGTAAATATATCCAGCTATTAGACTTGATGAATGTGATGAACTTATTATATCATGATATTGGACTCGTAGAACTTTATAAACTTTAGATATGTGGTGATGGTTACCGGAAACCTTACAATAAACTATTAGAATAACCTACAGGAAGAAAAATACCGTATTTTATTGAACTTTCGTTCTATTTTGGAGGGAAGGCATTATGTAACACAATTGTGTTCCATACGATAATCATCAGGAAGTAACTACATACAGCAAAACCGAGACGATTACATGTAACCTTTAGACACTTAATAACAATCTGTACGAATATTATTGACATATATCCTGCAGCCACTAAATGACCATGTCTACTGTGAAATAACATGTATCCGTCAGGGGTTAATTGCATAGTTTGACAATTAACCACAGACTAGTATTACTCCACAACCAGACTACTACGTAACCGGCCTACAGCTATGGACCGTTTGTATGGACCACTAGACTATATAAGATCTCTCATTTTGGACTTCAACACACAATTCGATCACACCAGAATTCGTCAGATCTCGGCCAGTGTCTCAGTGAAAAACATTTATTTGAACTTTTAATCGCTCTTTGAATACTTGTAAATTAAGCAATAAATTCTAATTGACAAGTATTAGTTAACTTAATTGACTTCGCAACAAAAGGGCCTTATTGATAAAGAAATAGTTGATATGCTTGAGAAAGGTGCTATCAAAGAATCTTTTGATGAACCAGAACAGTTAATTTCAAATATATTTCTAGTAAAAAAGAAAAATGGAAAATTTAGGCTAGTTATTAATTTGAAATAAAATTGAGAATGGAAATGGGGAATGTGTCAAAGAGACAACAACCCGACCATAGAACAGACAACAGCAGAAGGTCACCAACAGGTCTTCAATGCAGCGAGAAATTCCCGCACCCGGAGGCGTCCTTCAGCTGGCCCCTAAACAAATATATATACTAGTTCAGTGATAATGAACGCCATACTAAACTCCAAATTGTACACAAGAAACTAAAATTAAAAATAATACAAGACTAACAAAGGCTAGAGGCTCCTGACTTGGGACAGGCGCAAAAATGCGGCGGGGTTAAACATGTTTATGAGATCTCAACCCTCCCCCTATACCTCTAGCCAATGTAGAAAAGTAAACGCATAACAATACGCACATTAAAATTCAGTTCAAGAGAAGTCCGAGTCTGATGTCAGAAGATGTAACCAAAGAAAATAAACAAAATGACAATAATACATAAATAACAACAGACTACTAGCAGTTAACTGACATGCCAGCTCCAGACTTCAATTAAACTGATTGAACGATTATGTCTTCATCATATGAATATCAGGCACAATCCTTCCCGTTAGGGGTTTAGTATCATACCATCATAACATATATGAGAAGAACATAACCCGTGTCATGCCAACAACTGGTTTTTAAATAAATGTGTTTAGTGCCGATGCAAAGACCCTATAAGTGAATCAATATTAACGCCAAAATATGCAATCTTTAATGACCTGACAACAGTATCGTAACTATATCCTTTCTTAATAAGTCTATTTATAGGTTTTGTTAGCTTCAGAGGTGAATACTGACATGTTTGTGCTTTATAAAGAATATTTCCATAAAAAATTGGATGTGAAATACCTGAACGTATAAGAAGTCTGCATGTTGAGCTATATTTACGAATGATATCCTTATACCGATGATAAAATTTAGTAAATGTTTTGACTAGTTTGTGATATCGAAAACCCTGGTGTAATAATTTTTCAGTAATACATAAATTTCTCTCGTTAAAATCTAAAACATTGTTGCATACACGAGCGAATCGTACAAGTTGAGATATATAAACACCGTAAGATGGTGACAAGGGAACGTCACCATCTAAAAATGGATAATTAACGATAGGAAATGAAAAATCATCTCTTTTATCATATATTTTAGTATTAAGCTTTCCGTTAATGATATAGATATCAAGATCGAGGAAAGGGCAGTGGTCATTGTTAGTATTAGCTTTATTTAAAGTAAGCTCAACAGGATAAATTTCTTTAGTATACATACTGAAGTCGTCATTATTGAGAGCCAAAATATCATCCAAATATCTAAAAGTATTATTAAATTTGTGTATCAGATGTATGTTGAAACCATTGAATCAATTTATTAGCTATCACCATTTTAAACAAGAAACGTTACAATTGATTTTAAAAGGAATTTCTAAAAATAGCTTTATTTTACATCTTTGGATTTGACTGATGCATATTTTCTATTTCAATCTATGAATCAGACAGAAAATATTTAAAATTCATATGGAATGAAAAATTACATGAATTTCAATGTCTACCATTCGGTATTGCTTCTGCCCAAGAGTATTTACAAAAATACTGAAAGTAATATTTTCACATATTCGGAGTATGGGTATTGATTCATATTTTTACATTGACGATTCCCTTTTGCAAGCAGAAAACTTTGATTTGGCAATCAAAAATACAGAAAGGGTTAAAACTTTTATAGAGTCAGTTGGGTTTGACATCAATATTGAAAAATCTGTTTTTATTCCAACCAACAGAATTATATTTTTGGGATATATTATAGATTCAGTACTATTTAAGGTATTTTTACCAGAGGAGAAAGTACAGAAAATAATTGAACTGTCAAAGAAAATGCTAAAAGCTCACAAAGTATCAATTAGAAGTCTGACACAATTAACAGGACTTTATCCATCTGAACATTATGCAGTACAATATGCTCACTTGTTTCATAGATATTTAGACTTAGACAAAACACGAGCTTTACATACATCAAATAATAATTTCAATTCATATTTGGATATCTCGGTAGAAGGCAAATCTGAAATAGTTTGGTGGTTAGAAAATGTTAAAACAGTAAACGGGAGACCTATTAGAAATGACTCCCCAAGTTATTATTTACACACAGATGCCTCCCTCAATGGTTGGGGAGCTGTTTGTCATGGGAAACAAACTCAAGGTCACTGGAGGATGGAAGAACAGTGTTTACACATTAATATTCTAGAATTAAAAGCTATCTATTTTAGCATTATATCACTTTGCTGTCACTTAGAAAGAAAACATATTTGTGTAAAATCAGATAGTTCGACTGCTGTTAACTATATAAATAATCAAGGAGGATCAGTTTTACCTTTATTAGAAATAACAAAACAAATATGGTATTGGTGTATAAAAAGCAAAGTTTTACTCTCTGCTGTTCATATTCCTGGGAAAGAAAATATTATACCAGATAATTTATCAAGAAATTTTAATGACACTTCAGAGTGGAAACTCAATGAATCTGTTTTTAATCAAGTAACCAAACATTTTTTCATCCCAGATACAGATTTGTTTGCCTCAAGGCTAAATAAACAATTGAATAATTTTGTAAGCTGGTTTCCAGATCCTGATGCTTATGCAACTGATGCTTTTTCATTTTCATGGCATAAATTATATCCTTATATATTTCCTCCTTTCAGTCAAATCAGCAGAGTACTTCAAAAGATAGAAGACGATCAGGTAAGCAGGGCAATTCTAATCGTCCCTGTATGGACAACTCAGTTATGGTATCCAAAGTTATTGAAAGCATTAATAGATTTTCCTGTAAAATTACCTCAGTTGTCAAACTTGCTAATTCTAGCACACAACAATCAAAGACATACAATGAACACAAGAGAAATGTTTCTTATCGCCCGTCTTGTTTCAGGACACATCTCCTCGATCAAGGTTTTTCAGACAAAACTACAAAAATCTTTCTTAAATCTTGGAGAAAGTCAACCAATGTTCAGTATGAATACTCTTGGAGAAGCTGGGTTTTGTGGTGTAATTCAAGACAAGCTAGTCCCACTTCTCCATCTGTAAAGTTACTCTCAGATTATCTGTCCATGTTGTTTCAAAAAGGACGATCTTATAGCTGTATAAAAAGTCACAAATCAGCAATATGTCAGACACTGACTTTGTAGGGTAACTTATCTTTTGAAAATAACAGTTATATTCAAAGATTTTTGAGGGGGGTTTAATCTTAGACTACCAAGACCAAGATATTTGTTTACTTGGGAAGTTGGCAAAGTGTTGAGCTATTTAAAATCTCTGTACCCTTTACAGGGTTTGGATTTTAAAATGTTAACTCTAAAATGTGTTGCTTTAATTGCTCTAGCATCTGCTCAAAGATCACAAACACTTGCAAATCTCAATTTAAACTCTGTACTCAGTACAGGCACATCATTTATTTTTCGTGTCACAACTTTATTAAAGACGACACGACCAAAAAACATAGGACAAGATGTTATTATTCCTGTTTTTCAGAAAAAAGAAATCTGTCCTGTTGAAACTTTAAAACATTATATTCACCGAACTAAAGACTTAAGAAAAAGTAGTAAATTGTTTATTTCATTCAGAACTTTAAAAGCTGTAACAAGCTGTTCAATTGCCAGATGGCTGAAATTGGTACTGTCTAATGCAGGCATAAATGTGTTGAAATTTAAAGCTCATTCATACAGATCTGCATCCTCTTCTGCAGCTAAAAGAGCAGGTATATCATTAAATGATATTCTGAAAACAGCAAATGGGGCATCAGCTCAAACCTTCAAAATGTTTTACTGTAAGGATATTGAGGTAGACAATACAAATTCAAATTATGTTCATTCAGTATTTAATCATACTTTTACAGCCTGATCACGTTGATGCTGACAGTGACTTAGAGATACAGTTCCAGCGTTTTTCTGCATCAGGAGATGTACTGTCTTTGAAGGACTAACAGATTGGAGATGGAGGAACCATTATTCCAGATGTTGTTTCTTAATAGTGAAGGAATAGTGATTGGACATTTGCGATGTTATTTATATATCGTTTTGCGTTTTTTCGTATGGACATACTAAAGATTTATGAACTAGTGATGGACATTAAATAATATTTGTTTTCCAATTATATTGTGTTTACATGTGATGCATATTAATACATGACAAGATTAAAAGAATTAATCATATATTTTAATTTTTTCTACATTGCTCCAAGAATTTTAAGTGTAAAATTTGCTTTATACTGCATCTAATTAGACTTAATTTTGGTATTTGATAAAATTGCAAAGTATGTGGAATAAAGACTTAAGAGCAAAGACTTGTCCGTCTTAAAACAAAACTTGTCAGAATGATTTGACTGATTTTCAAACCAGTTTTGTGTTGGATACTTATATTTGCTGAATTTCTTTGTTTATATCTCTGTTCAAGTTTTTTACTGGTAATGTACATCAGTTCTTTATTAATTTCCATTTATTTCTTATTTTATTTGGAAGTTGCATTTATTGGAGCTACAAAGAGTTCACTTATTAACCTGAGAAAGCCAAGGATTATGATATATAATGTTGCCTTATCCAAGCATCATTTATGATGTGAAGGATAAGGTGCATTGTATGAAGCCTAAGGGCTTCGAGGGTTAATATGTACCCTCCCAAATTATATAAACAGTAATATGCCCGTCCCAAAAAGAAATATTTAGACCAATGAATGCCCATAGCGGTTTGGTTTTTTAAAAAAGAGGATGGTCACGTCTATGCACGGGCTTATATAGTGTAGTGGTCAGACAAAAAATCACTCAGCTGTGAAAAAAGGCGTGCGGCCTTGACAAGGAAACCTTGT